TTTTTTTTTTTCAAAAATAAACTTAAAAGTAAAGGAAAAAAAATTTTTTTCGAAGTAATGGAGTAGAGAAAAGCAGTTACAGAAATTATATAGATTTGATAATCAAAAGATATTATTATTTCCATTGTATGAAGTTAGCATTTTTCTACTGAAGTTTATTGAAGTACTATAATTAATTTTGAAACTTTTTTTGAAGGTTACAAATCTATAGAGTTTTGGAATTTCCCAGTCGAATTTTATTGATAAATATTCATGCAGGATTTATAAAGTTTGGAGTGCTTTACTTGTATTTTTTATATTCCATATTATTTTAAAGCCTTAACCTTGATGGACTTTTGCAATGTCTTTTTAGCTAAATGTTTCATTGAATTGTAAAAATTTTTGTTGAAATATCACTATTGGATATGTTAGAATTTTTTTTGCCATTTTCTTGGTAATCCAGGCGGGAGCCTTCCTATTTGAAAATCCTTCTGAAAATTTTTCTTTACCGTGTTTTTTAAATGTACTTTTTCCTGTGGTGAACGTGTTTTTCTCGTGTTCAAGTAGTGGAAGTTACAGATTTTTATGGATTCGTCGGAAGATGAGTGCAGAGTTGACAAGATTGAAGCGACGCCTCGAAACCGATGAACTTCATCGACAGCATTGGTATTGGGGAAATGTTTCAAAAGAAGTCATTGCGAAAGCTTTGGAAGTTTCTTTTCAACATGTTCTTTATAGTTTCTGGAAAAAATTTGGCGCTACTGGTTGTTTGTGGGACAAACCGTTGATTTTTTCCATTTTTTATTCCTCCAACACTGAGAAATGCAACTATAAGTTTTTAAATTAAGTAGGTCTTCTTAACGCGTACTGTGAATGATGAGGAAACGAATTTCTATAACTGGTTCTAGGAAAGTAACAGGATTGAGTTGAAATTGACGACCCTTGCAGTGATATTAATGAGTGATTTTGGCTGGTTGATTTTAACTCGTCTTGAAAGTACGAACTGAACTGCTTGAGCCACAAGTTGTAAAGAATGATCTTTTATCTACCTTATTTTGTTTAGGAATTGCAAACGTTTAATTAATTAACTAACAAATAATGCGTTAAAACTGGTTCAGCAGTTATCGTTCTGTTGTAACGTAAAAAAGATTTTATTGTTCACATTCTGATTATCGGTGGGAGGTAGAGATGAAAGTAGCTGAATTAGGTCTTGTAATTGCTTGAACGTTTGTTTTTGAATGCATTGTTACGTTGCATATCGCTTTCCTCATTTTGTTGAGTGTATTTTTCGTTGTTTTCAGTACCTTGTAGTGGCTTAATTTTTTGTAAATTATTTTTTGGGAAACTTAGGTTTCATCTCGAATCTTTTTCCTACCAAATATAATTTTAAAAGATGAAAATTGTAAGTTTCACGGGCAGGATTTTTCTCTTTAAGTTGGTTTCTCTCTTTATTGTTTTATAAAGATATTTCTTCTCCATTTATTTCCAACATTAGGACCGTTTTGATCAAATTACTCACATGTTGCTGCACTTTTGAAATGAGCATTACCTTCTGTTTAACCCGTGTATCTATCTATGGGGATTGAAGTAAATCAGGTTGCTTAAATTTTTTATATAACTCACCAGAAGTAGAGAGCGTATGCAGTCTTCAAACACATTTTGCTCTCAGAGCAAAAATATATTTTCTGCTATATTAGATTACCTGCGCCAACGTTGTAGAAGTATTTTTTTGGCATGATACTTTGACTTGAGAAATCTTCATAATTTTTTATCTTCAAATACTCTATTTGTTTAGAACTGTGATGATGGAGCGTTTATTGTCCGTGACGCATCAACACAAGGAGATTACACATTAACAGTAAGGTATCAAAAGGTAAATATTCTGGACTGTTAGTAGTATTAATTGGAAACTAATTCATTAAGGCTATATCGATAGTTTGCATTTGCCAAGGATGCAGCACATTTTGTTATTTAGCTTGTTTTTAATTTTTTTTAATAACTGTTTTTGGTTTAAATGTATTGCATACCTGTTGTAGAAGAACCGACTGATAAAAATAAGAGTCGTCAATGGGTGCTATGGATTTTCCGAAGATGGTATGAGTTTTGACTCTGTTTTATCACTCATAAATTACTTCAAGAGGAATTCCCTGGTTGAATATAACCGCCTACTGGATATTAAGCTGAAGCTCCCTGTTTCGCGTGTTAGATGTAAACTGTCTCCGTGGGTACGTTTATTTTCCAGTTATTAGTATATTTCATTTCCCCGCGATCAGGACGTCTTTTGGATTATGAAAGAGATTGAAAGAAATCTTTTTTTGATACGTAGTAGTGCACTTTGAAGTAAAATGCTAGAAGATAGGAATTAGGAGGTTTCTTTGCAGCCTAGACTAAGTTTTTTATCCATTCTGCGATTCATATGCTAGTATCGCCATCTAACAAATTTAAACTTTTTTTCTTTGTACTTCACTTTCTAAGGTCTCTGCGTTAGAGTTTTCTTCTCCGTCAACAAGAGTTCTCTTCTATAACAGTCGCAATTATAATTGCTTTTCTGCCTTCAGTGGCAGGCCACTGACAAAACACCTCTACTTTTTTTAAAGTTAAGGACAAGTTTGTTCCTCCTTTTTTTATGTCTTTGTTTTACCAGCTTTATTGTTTTTTTTTCCAAGCACAGGAAGCTCAAAACGTTCTGGCTTTCCAAGCACCTACTATACTCCCGTATCCAAACCATACTTACAAAATGAAATTAAAGGTTTAGATTTTT